CTATGTTCATTTTGAATAAAATAGACTCAGATAAAAAGTTAGTTGTCGGCTAGAGTTTGCACTTGGGTGGATACAAGTGTTCTTCAGGGAGAAACACAAGAATAGGCTCTATCATGCCAATTAAGGAATCATCACATGGTTCTAGTTTGTCAATATTCTGGTAATCTCAAGCTCCCAATGTAGCCTAGAAAATCTAGAATGAAAACAAATCCAAGGGTATTTGTACTCACTTCCAGAAGCATATCCGTGTAAGGATTCTTGTATTCTTACTCAGTTCTGCCACCTCAAAAAATACCGCAGGGTATTGTGTTCCAAAGTACACTATACCCACAGAATACTCTCCCAACAAATGTTATTTACTAATAAAGAAATTACCAAGACGGATTTCCCAAACTTATCTGACCATAGGACACTGTCCCCCCCTTTCTTTATATCTCTTGTTATCCTGAGGATAAGTGTTCCTAGAAACAGACTGGAAAAGTTGTTCCATTAAAACAATATTATAAAGTACTTAAGAGTATTGGGCATGGCATCAGGCTGCCTAGATTTAAATTTTTCACATAACAGCTGCTGACCTTGGGCAAGGTACTTAGCTTTTCTCTGCTTTGGTTTCCTCTTCTGCAAAATGAATATAACACAATTTACCTACTGCTTGGGTTTGTTTTCAGGAATAAAGGAGAATATGTATTTAGTGGAGTGCTTAGCACAATGCTTACAATAGTAATCTTCAGTCAGTGCTAGATCTCAACACTTTTATTATACCCAGCAGTATGGCTAAACCCAGTGGGGAGGTCCTTTCCAAAGGAGATATCTTTTGTAGGTCTGGGCTAGTCCCAGATTCGTTTCAGGACTCCAGCCATCTCTAGTTCTACCCTTTAGGCTTCCATTTCACTGGAGGCTGTTCATTTTCTTCTCTGTTACTCTGAATTGCATTTCCTGGGGCTTTTCCAAGAAAGACTTGACCAGAGCCTTAGGGAAGAAAACCTTCTTCCCAGATGGGTCCCCACTTCTAAGAGAGAACCCACTGCATTGGAAATGGCTGCATAAAGCTCTAGCTACAATGGAACTTGAATCAAAGCCCTGGCAAGCCTTTGGCTGTCTTCATGGTTGTATTCTGGGCCAGAGAGGCTTGGTGACTCCTGGGCAACTCTTCCAACTCCTTACCTCTGCCCTGTTGTTTCTGTTAACAGGGTGTTTATAATAATGACAATACCAAAACTCTTTTCTTTTTCATTTCTTTTTTGGGACTGGGGGTAGGGGAGTATTTGATGGCTTTTGCTTGATTATTGAAGTAACACACACTTATTACACAAAAATCTAACATTATATAAATATATCAGGTAAAAAGTGAATCTCTCCTGTAATTCCACAACCCCTGCCTCCCCTCATAATCCCAAGACTGCTACTGTCAACAATTTTCTTCTCATTTTTAATGACGGGCAGAACTAGAAGCTCTGTACTCTGCTGGGAATACTTCATTCTGCACCGTTCGCCTCAGGAATTTCTATTTATCTTTATAAAAGAAAGTTCAAATAACATCTTAGTGAAGTTGCTCTGACCCAGTCAAGCCATGTTGGTCCGTCTCTTTACCAGGTGTCCAAAGTAATTCGTACATCCTACATTCAGAGAACTTACCACAATTTCACTGCAATTTTTGAATTAAATGTCTCTCCTGCTTCAAGGACTGAAAGGGCCATTTCTCTTTCCTCTTGGGTGCAAGGCATCTGACACATGAACAAGCAGTCAATTCACAAGTATTTGTTGAGTGAATGAATGAAGAAACATACCAATAAAATATTTTTCTAAAACATAGACTTTCAAGCTCTATAGTAATCATGGTCAGGAGGCTCAACATTTACATTTTTTCTGGAAAAATGTTTCTTATATGTCCCACATTCCAACAACCAGGTAATACTGTTAATTCTCATATCTTTCATTTCTTTAGACCTGAAAACTCAAAATTCTAACTTCACAGCAAATGGTACAGTTGGAAGAATTTGGGATGGATGGTAGTTTATTTTCTAAGTGCCAAATGCGCATTTTGGAGCATCATTGGCCATAGGCTTTGGGCACTGACACCAGAACATTCCAGGAAATAACATTTCAAATAAACAGTTTCAAGTCCAGTAAACCACAAACACAGAAAAGTACTCAACAACACTTCACAGCAAATAGCCTTCTGTAGACGGTTACTCGGGAATGGCTGATTATATTTACAAAGCACAAATAACTCTTCTGTTAGATTAATTGAATATAATTTAAGCTGAAGGCTTGAGTGAAAAAGTGAATCTATAAGAGTGATGAGAGGGGAAGACAAAGAAGAAGATACCAGAAGGATGAATCTTAGAAAAATATTTCCAAATATCAGAGATCCCCACTGGACCAACTCTTCAAATTAACAAGCTCCACTGAGGGACTCTGACATGCTGCATGACACATCATCCAAGGAATAACATCCAAAAGGAGTCTCATTTTTCTTGGAAAAAGAGATTGCCACAGAGCTTTCACATTTTACCAATTAAACAGATTGGATTCCATGTAATTAAGTAATATAATTATGAACTTATTTCTTGGCCTCAAGCCCAAAGCTGTATTTCTAGTTCAAGTATATCAGCAATTTTCATCCAGAATTCATACATCACATGCTGAACCTAGCTCTTCATATTAAAATATGTAGGCAACCTACAAATAGAAATCCACAATTTCAAAATTAAAGAGTAAGACTCAATGGGCGCAATCACAGAAAGTGAGGTGCAGAGGTAGATACTGGGCATTAAACATAAGCAGGATATAGAATTGACCAGGAGAAATTTAAGACTTCTAAAAATTTAGTATGAAATGAAAAAAAGTGGAGAGGTCAGTAGGTTTCTATCGTACAAGGGATGGTGACTTAAGTAGAAAAGGGAAAGGATATTTTAGGGATACATAGGAACTGGCCCTAAAGTTACATTAATATAGCAAATATACAAAGTTAGGAGGCAAAGTAATCACTAATGGGGAGGGAAGTAAACTAAATTATAATCTTCTCTTACATTAAAAAAATGGTACTGTCAGAATCATGCTTATTAAGTTATAAAAGTTAACATTTATTGATAACTTGGGTTGGCCCAGCCCACGTTCTAAGTATATTCTGTGAATAGCTTATTTAATTTTCAAAGCAACTGTATGAGATAGGAACTATTATTATCCCATTACACAGATGAGAAAATTGAGGCACAGAGAGGTAAAGTAACTTGCCTAAGGCCACACACCTAAGAAATTGTAGAGCTGAGATTTAAACCCTGGCAGTCTGGCTCCAGAATCCTATGTTTTTAACAATATACTATGGTGCCTCATAACGCCTACTCAAAAGAAATATTACTCTTTATTTTAGAGGTCTATTCACATCTTTATATAGACTTTCAGAAATCTTTTGGAGATTTAAGTCCTGAATTAAAGAGACTGGTCACTAGCTATCAAAAGCAACTGAAGTCAATGTACTTTGAGAACCGGTAAAAGATGCTCAATTCACTTTTGCACGGTATTTGACACTTGTCCATGCAATTGAATTCAATTCAATTAACAGTGATTTAGGGTCCCATGCTGAATACCAAAGAAGTAAGATTCAAAGCTTAAAGAAGATACAATTTTTATTCCAATCTAGTGCAAATGAAATACTCTGAAGCTTACAGTTGAATAGAAATGAGGAAAATGAATCCAGAGCATTCAAATGACTTGCTTAAGGCCTAAAATGTAGTTTGTAGCACAAAGTGACCTAAAGTCCAATTCAAATGGGTCTAAAGAAAGTTTTTCTTTTTACTCCACCACTGTGCTTCCAATCAAGCTGGTCGAACATACTGAAATAAAATTAATGTCCAAAATCATTATCGGTGCTTTTTGAAGAGGAAAAATGTTTGACTTTCTCCTGCTTTCCTCTAGAACTCACTTCATTCTGGACTGATATGAGAAACAGAAAGAAGAGATAGCCAAGGGAATATTTTTAAGAGAAGAGGAGGAGAGAATTAACACAGCATCTCCCAGAGCTTCTGTGAAGGAATGTGTGATTTTCAGGTTTATTTGCTGGATAACTTCTCTCTCAAACCTTCCCCAATTCTAAAATTAGATATTGAAATTACGTCTATATTGATAACTATGTGTATATGTATGTGTGAAGGTTACCCACTCCATTCTAAGAGCCTTAAGAACAAAGGAGATGCTTTAAACCTACACGCCCAGGTTTTACAAAATGCTTTATAAAAAACAAAGTAGGTAGTCAAAATCTTTTCTGTCATAGTGTATATACAGTGTAAGATTTCCAATTAGTTTGTTTTCTTTAACAAAATGACCCTGTATTCAGGTTACCTAGATAATTTTATTAGTTTATATTAGTGGTTCTCAAACTGGGGCAACTGCTTCCCCTGGCCCCCCAGGGGACATCTGGCAATGTCTGGAGTCATTTTTGGTTATCATAACTTGAGGTTAGGGGAGGGTGCTACTGGCTTCTAGTGGGAAGAGGTCAGGGAAGCTGCAAAACATTCTGTCATGCATGGGACAGACCTTGCAACAAAGAATTATCTGCCTGGATTCCTTATTGTGGCAATGGAAATCATTATTTCTATCCTAGGTTACTCTTTTATTTCTATGATGGAAAAATGCCTGGCCTTTATCCATTGTCCTAATAGTCTGATAATGTGTTAAGATGAATAAGGGCAAGGAAGTAGGAGGTGCTGCTGATTTTTCTTTGCATTTCGTCATATTTTCCTTGCATATTTTTAGCTGGTGTGGTTATGGTTGCTTCAGTTTTATTTGCTTGTTCATTTTCCCCAGTGGCGGATAACAACATTTGACACTTTAGATGTCTGGCGTACACATGAATAAAAATTTCTTTAAGAGGATAAGTTGTTTCTTTTCTGGGAATCAACTGACCTCAAGAGGATCTTTGAACATACCATGGTAACTAATCTGTTAAGTATTTTGTGTTTTGAGTTAAATATGTCACTACTGAGATTCTCACACGTTAGTTAACAATTTTCTAAATATTTACCAAGATCTTTAATAAGTGAGAGTGCTTCCCATGATATAAAGGCTCCACCGCCATCATCCATGGCACCCTGCCCAACATCCCAGCTGTCCAGATGTCCACTGACCAGTACAACCTAGAACAAATAATAAAAAGACAAAAAATAAAACTAAGCAAAAATGACATCAAAGAGCAAACATTTATAGGTATTCAAAATATAAAAATGGAACTTTTATATTTTCTTTTCTATTTTTATGTCTTTAAAGATATGTGTCATTATTAGTGGAAAACTTGGTAAGGAGGAATTATATAAGGGGTCTAAGGCTATCCTAATAGTAATAAAAATCCTCACTTTGTACCTTTATTTATTAATATAATTTGACTACTAAAGAAATTGGCTTATTACTGACAGATATTTGATAAATTTATTATATGGCTTAAAACCTAAATGACACAAAAATGAAGCTCGAAACTTCAACCACATTCTTAACTGTCCTAAATTCTAGAAGAAACATAATAAACATGTATTGAATTGATTTAAATGAGAAAATGAGAACAATATTTTTTAAAAATTGTTTTATGCATTATAGATTGATGTTGAATAAATAAATAGCTGGATTTCAAAACTAGATCCAATTGAACAGGAGAACTTTTAAGGGAAATTTCAACTGACATTAGTATTAAATAAATCTAGAAATTATATTACACATTTTAAATCATCACAGGTTTGAAATTTTTGTCAGGAAGTATTAGTAATTCTAAGACAATATAAAAAAAATTCACTGAAACTAAATTTTGTGGACACATTTCAAACAAGTTAAAAACCAAGTATAGTGATGCTGGGGTATATAGAATATTGGTTTGAAAAACAACGTATCTTGATCATTATAAAACATACAAATATGGAGTCAGATGAATTACATATCTAAAGAGATTTTAGAGGACGGCATAGAATAACTTTGCCAATTTAGAGTAGGCAAAGATATCTTAAACTGGATACAAAAAGTATAAACCATAAAAGAAAAAATAATAAATTATATTTTGAGTTAAACATGTCACTACTGAGATCCTCACACATTGGTTAACAATTTTATAAATATTTACTAAGATCTTTAATATGTGAGAGTGTTTTTTTAAAATTAGGAATCTCTAGTCATCAAAAGACTGCATTAAGAGAGTGAAAAGGTAACCCACAGAAAAACAGAAAATATTCAGCATATATATACATATGAACAGACAGTTCACACAGAAAGATATGCAAATTACTAATAATCATATAAAAAGATACTCAGTTTCATTATCATCAGGGAAATATCAATTAAACCACATTCCATACATATCAACCAGAATGGCTAAAATGAAAAAGACAAAATATGCCAAATATTTGTGAGGCGGTAGAGTAACTGGAATTCTTGTACGTTGCTAGTGTAAGTACATTCAACCACGCTGGCAAAACTGGCTTATCTATTAAATCTGAACATACACAAAACTATGACCCAGTAATTCTACTCCTCATTATATATTCAACAGGACTTGTGTGTGTGTGTGTGTGTCTGTGTATACTTTAACCAAAAAAGATGTACTGGAATGTTCATAACAGAGTATTCATAATAGGCCTAACTCTCCTAAAAAAAGAAAGACAAAGAAAACTCATCAAATGTCTGCTGACAATAGAATGAACACTGAATACATTGTGTTGTATTTATCAACGGGACACTCCATAGCAATAAGGTAGAAATGGAAAATGAACAAACACAACTCATGATAAATTTATATGAGTCTCATAAACATAATGAAGAATGAAAGAAGCCAAGTAACACATGATGTATAATTCCATTTATATAAAGTATAAAAACACACAAAACAGGAGAGTGATTACCCTTGGTGAGGAGGGTTAGTGACAAAAATGGGGTATGGGAAACCTTTTGGGGTGCTGGTCATGTTGTGCTTTCTGATCTGGGTAGCAGTTACACAGGTGTACTCAGTTTGTGAAAGTTCACCATATACACTTAGGATTCATGCACTTTCTCTGAGAATATTATACTTCAATAGAATTTTTTAAAAAGTTTTACAGATTGATGTGTATGCACAACATGTACTAAGTAAACCAAAGTTGAACCAATCTTCTTGATGATTAAAATAAAAATTGCCCATTACTTTGGGAAAGCAGGACTTTGGGGTTAAAATATTAGGGTGACCCTTTGCACTGAATGATTTACTGAGCAGCTGCGGGATCTCCCATTGACTTACATACAGACCCAGTCTAGTATGACTTCATTGTAGTTACAAACAAGCACAATCCCCCAAACTAACAAATGGCTATGTAATGAACCCAAATGGATTGTTTCTAAGGGGGAAAAATAAAGAATAAAGAAAAATTCATGTTGCAATAGCAGGAACTTCTGATTCAGAAAGAAGTGGTGTAATCCCATGTGGGACAAACAGCCCAATTAGTCAACATTCTCATGACTCTCAGAACATTTTCCTAATGACGTTCCAGTGGATTAAAAGTGTCAAAATGTGCTTCAATAAACTTTTTCTCAGATAATACATAGGAGCAACTAAGTTAAGGAAGCTATTATTTTATCCTTCAGATTTCTTTCAGAATAACTGAGATTGTTTACAATCATACTTCTTTATGTTTTCTCCATTCTGTAATCTACTTAATGTTACTTAAACTAGTAGTTAAAAAACTGGAAAGATGGTTTTTGAATGATAGGAAACTAAACAATATTCCATAGGAAAAGGTCTTTGGTATAGTGCTATAGAAGAATGATTACATATTCTTTGGATTATCAGAGCTTATTTCAGTATATATTTTTTAATCAGAAAAAAAAAACTGGGGCAACAATGAAATAGTAGTAGTAATTTTAATATCTAGTGATTTAAAACTAGGTAATAATAAAAAGCTATTGCTAATTCAGTAGCAATGTGAATGAACTTGAATTTTCCAAATATAAGAGCTTCTGCATACACTTAGAAAATAGCAGTGCAGGAGGTTTCACTCAAAATGGAATGTGGCTAGCATTCCTTAATGTTGCCTCACAAAAGATAACCCAGAAAAATATACCAACGCGCAAGGCTACTGAAAATCTCCCTTATGTCAGGGTCAGGCATGTTATAATAAACTTGGATCTGATTTAGACAAACAAAACAAAACCAGACTACCCAGAAATGCTGTAAACTGCAGTTTCAAGAAAAATATCACCTGATAAATGCTAGGAAAATCACAGTCCCTTCACTGCCTCTGTTGCCAGATCCGGATTCCTTTGAGCAAAAACATGGCCTAGAATCAACAGAGAAGTGGGCACCTGCCCATCTGCCCCTTGTGTTGTGAGTCCTGAGGCACTCAAGGTACTGACCAATTCTTTTACCCCAACTTCCTTTTCACCACCATCTCTTCCAAATGCAGTAAAGAGTAAAAAACTACTCTGAAAACAGCAATAGCAGCTGAAACAAAACAACTAGAAAGGCAGAATGGGAACTCTAGTTCTTTGAAAGGTAGGGTTTGTTATTTGTGAGGTAGGCATTAGCCCTGACTGCCTTGGGAAGAGGGCCTTGGGCATAGGGGAAGAATACACCACAGTCGAACAGAAATGCACTGGATGAAAGCCTGCTAGCAGAAGGAACCAGAATGGCAACAGCATACATCCACCCACAGGCCAGCTGTAGGTCTGAGAGTAGAGAAGGGCGAAATCAAAGATGTGCAGAGAGCAGCCTGAGGACAAGCCCCTCTGTTACTGGTGCATATGAAGACACCGAGTCCAAATGGATCCACCTGATTATGAGATGAAAATGAGACATATGAAAAATATGGCAGTACTAGGGAGAGGAAACAGCCTCAGAGGACTTGCATTCTTATGAAAATGAGCTAATGCAAGATACTGAAGAACATTTCACGCTCTCTGGCATTCAGTCATGGTTTTCTTCAACAATTTTTATTGAGTTCCCACTATGTGCTAGAGATACCGAAATGAATAAAACAAGCAAATATTCTGCCTTAATTGAATTTAGATTCTGGTGGGAAGATGGAAAATAAATAAATACAATATAATGATAGTTTTAAGTGCAATAGAGAAAAATATCTTTATATCTACAGTGTGGAGTAGATTTTTAAAATAGAATAAAAATTCAAAGCATGAATAGTAGATGTATAAATTTAACTATCATAAAATGAAGCCTTTATGTTCATCAAGAGAAGTCACAGAATGAAAGGAGTTGCTAGAAATTGGAAGACATTTCCAATATATATAACTCAAAATGATTTATATTCAAAATGGATAAAGAATTCCTATAAATCAATAAGAAAAAGATAAGCGACCTAAAAAGCAAATAAGCAAAACACATAAAGAGGTATTTCACAGAAAGAAATTATGAATGGACAGCAAACATTTGAAAAGATGACCAATTTCATTACCGATCAGGGAAATGTAAATTAAATCCTTAATAAGATACCACTTTGCAACTATCTGGCAAAAAATTTAAAATCACACAAATGAGATCTTGGCAAGGAGGCCGAGCAATAGGAATTCTTATCCACTCCTGGTAGGAGCAGGAAATTGTTAAAATCATTAAGGGAAAACAATTGGACATATCCTTATAAAGTTGAACATATGTACATTCCACAATCCAACAATTCCACTTTTGGTGTAAACATTAGAGGACTTCTCATACCAGGAGACATGGACCAAAATGGTCATATAGACACATTCAGAAGTTCTCAAACTGAAAAAACACAAATGTCCATCATCAGTAGAATAAATAAATAAATTGTGGAATAGTCATACAATGGACTATTACAAAGTAGTAAAGTGAACGGAAAATGACCTAGTGATGCATTATTAAATATAAATGAATCTCAAAACAAAAATAGGCAAAAAAACAAAAAAAGACAAAAGAAATAGAAGAGTACAATTCTATAATGTAAATTTCAACTAAACTAAATAATATAATCTTCAGTAATACATACAAAGATAAAGATAGTATAACTATGAAAAAAAGCAAAGCAATAGTATACCGAAGTTAGGATTGTGTTTATGTCTAACGGGGGTTAGGGCAGACAGGAGGAGGTGATCAGCTACGGGAACACAGTGACCTTCAAAGACACTGATAGTGTTCTGTTTCTGCAACTCAGTG